ATTCAATAACTGGTGCTACATCGTTCGTTAATCCAACAGTGAGTAATGATTCAGGAAAGGTATTACAAGATGAACATGAAGAAGATCAAGAACGTTATTTTGATAAAATAGAACGATTAAAACGAACAGAAAACGAAGTAAATTTTTTTGTTTTTTAATATATAATTCAAAATTTAATTGAATTTATTTTGTGCTTTCTTCTTTTAGAAAGCTCATGCCCCAATAATTCGTCCAGCAAAAAAATTAGATATGTCACAAAAATGGGAACAAATGATGGCGAATAAAACATCTGGTGATAATGATGATTAAAGTGAATTGATTTGTTTTTTGTTTTCCTTATTTACATTTAATATACGGGTGCTCTTATTGAAGACAAACGTTCTTATAGTCATTCCATTGCTTTGTTTTTTTTTTCTTCTTCTTTAATTAGTTTGAAATTTCAATAATTTTTTTCTTCTTTTATTGTATATTTATATTCGCTAATAACTTGTAATCAAAATCATAACATATATATACAGCAAGAAAAGAAAAAAAATCTTAAAATAATCAAGTTCTGAATTATTTCTTGTGTTGTAACAAAATGTTTTGTTTTCTTTATTATTCTATAATATATCTTTTCTTTTAATGTTATTTGTTTACTAGAGATATTCCCTAGAGAAATCTTGAAAGAAAAAACAAGAATCATTTGAGTAGAAAAATGAAGTATTCAATAAAAATAGCTAACTGCACAGAGTGTATGGTGTATGCATAGTAGGTTATTAGGAGGAGTGCAAAAACCAGAGAATAACAGCTTAAAATAAAACTTTTATTGATCAATACAATGAAAACTTTGGCATATTTTCTGTTCATGATTTCTTCAGATAAGAAACATAGAACACATGTATAAATCATACACAAGAAATGACCAAGATATAATCATATTGTCATAGAACACACAAATACGAAATAAAAAGAAAATAACGGTGACATAGCATATTTCTTTTATTACGGATCAAAGCTGAATTTTAAACTCCTATTGAGAGTTCTGTAAGTAATTTAACATTAATTTCCTGATCATTATATTCATTGAGAAGCACAGTTTGTGTCATACATTTCTTTATTATTTTCAACGATCTGATAACAACTATTAAGGTTCTCTCTTTTATACACCTAATTATGAATATTGCGCATATAACATGACTCTTTACTACGATTCAATTATTAATCACAAAATAATAGTGATGATGAGAATAGAGACTAGTAGAAATCTATTCTTTAAGACAATAAAACTTATAAAAGATAACTAACAAAAAAAATTATATGTGAAAATCAAATATGCTCTGCTTTTTCTAACTTGTTCGAACATGCGACGATGCAATGCATAATTTGTTATATCATGTCTTCATGAATTAGATTATATTGAGGATTACTTATCTAAGAAATATTATCTTACTTGCAATTATTACCTGACTTCCTGGATTTACGCTATTGACATGTTAATTTCACGTCAATATCTGAAGATAAATCATAATAATGTCAATGATGGCATATAACCAATACAGAGCTTACTTTCACCATTGGTAATATCATCGATTGCGTTATAACTAGCGTTTACACCATCAAATTTATTGTAACTATCGTAGGTTGATTTGGGATCGATTATTGTTTTTTTCATATACATCCAGTCTGTTATCTGAATCTTGAAAATTTTCGTAAGGTATTGTCCAGTTTAATTGACAGTTTATAGCAGGTTTTTATTTGCTGGAGTATCATCAACACATATGTGTTGAAATAATGTATCTAATAATAAGTATCACTGTAAGAATCATTCAAAATAAAAATCGATATCAACAAACATCATGTATAATATGAGAAAACAACAACTATCTATGCAGACTAAAGTAATATTCATTTTCTAGTTGTGAAGCGTACGCTCGAAAAGAACTGTATGAATAAAATATTTATCATCAAACCAACTATCACTTCACTTATTGATTAATAAAATCGTATTCATGTGATGCATATATGTAACTATAATCAGCGTATACCTGTAATATATGTATGTATATATTTATGTACGAATATGATACATCGAAAGATAAAAGCAAATAATAAAAAAAAAATGTTAGGCATACTAAAATATATGTTAGTCCAGAGGTATACAAATGTGTTAACGCGTGACTTAAAAAAAAATCATTGTTTTCTTTTTTATTACAGGAAAAAAACATACTGTGACTCCACTGAAGCGTAGTCTGCATTATTTTTTCACACATAGCTGATATTTCTTTAGATATTACCAATCATTCACTGATATTTTTTGTTTCTTGCTATAAGAGGAAGATATATTGAAAGTGTTTTCAATAAAACATAGATTACATCAATATTTCATATCCAATATCTAGTCTTCCTAGCTGCTATCAATCGTTAGACAATATTTTTTTCGTTTTGTAACGAAAAATGAGAAGCGAAATACGTAGAGTAAATGCACAGTGAACTAAAAATAATGCCTTGTTGAATTATAATACATTGAAATCTGCAATGATTGATCATGAAAAACAGATTCAAATGAAAACAAAATTACTCTACTTTGTAAGATATGAAGAAATCATGTTATTGCAGAAATTTAATATGTCAATTGAAATTTTTTTTTTTCTGTTACATAGATAATTAAAGCTAGAACAACAAAACAACCTTGGGACACTCGAACGATATATAATTACGATATCATTATTGTTTCTTAAGTATATACAAGTATCATTTGTTAACATCTTTTATGAGAACTGAATTTATTAATCCTCTTTACCATCATATCATCTTTATTGATACACTTATCATTGAAGAGAAAAATAAATGACACTATATTCTTCGGTCTTTTTTTTATATGTCCTGTGGATTCTTGCAGTGATACATAACTTTGATAGTAATATAACTGCATTGGTAAATGATAATGGAACTAATTATGAATTGACACGTATTGATTGAAATGCTGTGGTGTGAATTCTTGAAACTGAAAATGAACAATGAGAACATGATTGTTGTTTCTTAATAACAGCTCAACTTGTTCTTCGTATGCGTCTTGAACAGCAAAATAATTACCTAAAAATACTTAATTACGTCTTCATACAACTGTTTTGTCAATTGTTATGGTTAATACCAAAAGTCTAGTAACAAAAAATTCAATTCAATCAGATTAAATAATAGTTGAATCATGAGGCACTAGTTAGTAACACACAAATATATGTGGAGATTTTTGTCTAACCTTGATGTTGTTATTTTTAGAGTACGGGTGACATGACGATGGCAGGATAAATTAGATGTAATGAATATATTCACCTCACGAGAGCTAGTGAATTCGATGATGAAACACATTCGATGAACAGAGTTATTTTTTATGTAACAGATGTTAAAATAGATCGTTGGTATTATCATGAACCATTAAGAAACCAAGGAGCTACCTACTGGTCTTGGATCAATTCATTCATTGCTGAATGTGAATAGCAGAGCATTTATATCATCAATAACAACACAATAGGAAAATCTACGAAATATTATTATACGTATATTTTTTTCTATTGTTTATTCATTTTTTCATTAATAGTTTTGATAGAAATATGTCATAGTGTGTGAAATATTTTAAAGACAAAAGTACTTTTTTCAACTGAATCGAAATTGCAAAAATAACAATCGGATAGTTTTGTTCGTCGATTGATAGTTCTAATGATTTATCATTCACAGATAATAATCTTCATTATTTATTTTTTGATACTATTTCATAATGTGTAATCGACAATGCATTGAAAAAAAAACTGTATATAAGCTTATTTATATCATCAACAAAACATTGAATATAAGCAAATGTTTTATTTAAAAATATTAAATATACATAAAGTAATCAAGTCAAACATATTCAGTAGTAAGTGGTTTTATTCTTTTATCATAATCATGTTCATACCATTTACTACCCGGTGTTGAAGGCTGTGATTGAGTTCGTTTTACGATAGACAATGTATCTGCTCCATAGCTATTTATTGACTTTTTATCAGATGATTTTAGAACATGATTTGTTACTAATATTGGAGCTTTTTCAAAATTGTTCATTGTTACTGGAAGAGATGGAGATATGGTTGTTGGTGGAGGTGGTTGCGGTTTAACTACAACAGGAGTGGAAGATTTTTGTGCTACAACAGAAGTTGAATCAATGACAGGTTGAGAAGTTATTATTTCTTTATTGACAACAGGGGTGATAAGACTTGTTGTCTGAAGAGAAGGCGGATCTTCTGCAAGTGGACGAGAAGAGATTGCATCTGCTTTAAGTGTAGAAGGATTTGTACTTTCGTTTTCAGTAGCGGGTGGAGGTGGATGATGATGATGATGGTGATGATAATGATTGTGATCTTCAGGTATGTGATGATGATGACGATGATGATGATGATGATGATGACGATGATCATTGCTTTTTGCACTGTGTGAATGGTGAACATGACTATGATGAGTTAGAGGACGTTCTTCGACGGCTTCCTGTAATACAACAGTTAAATCTTATTTATAAAAACAAAATAATCCTTGGCATACTACTTACATTGTTTGTTGGCGCTTGTGAAAAAAATTCCTTTTGCAGATATTCATCACTAGAAACTGCAGGACGATTTGGAGGACGTGCAGGATAATTTTGAGGATATGCAGAATAATTTTGAGCATATTCAGGATAATAATATTGTTCAGGTGCATATTGATTAGGATAATAGTTATACCCATTGACTGAACCAAGTACCGGTGGCCTTCTACCAGATGGCTGAACTGAAGTTTTTTTACTGTTTCCTTTGACTGTATTGTTTGTGTTACCCATTGTATTGAAAATGTACGAAAGAAGAAAAGAAAAGTTGTCGTTGATTTAATTTGATAGGCATGCTGTCCAAATGGGATTAAATAACATCTACTCAGTAGTCATGTTTATTCAAATACATTACACAAAAACTAGATATTTTCATTTTTTAACAAATTACTCAATAAACAAATATAAGTTAACGTTTTTTATTTTTTATTGATTTAGAAGATTTTTTTGATTGGTTCGATTTTTGTTTGGTGAACTTCTTCCGATGTTGAGAACGAGATTTCGATTGATTATTATCATCGTCTTCACTTTCTACATTAGTCATAGGCAATGTAAAATTATTTAATCGATGAGAACCTATGTTATATGATAGAAAAATCATGTAATTTATGTATTTATTTATTTGTTCAAAACGTACGTGTGGAGAAACGAGTACTATAATGTATTGTTCGATCTATGATAGGTAAAGGTGATGGTTCTCGAATTGGTATTTCATTTTCTAAATAAAAATGATGTTCAAATAGAATTTGTTGTAGAAAATGAAATATACCATTGGTTTTTTTCGTTTTTCGTTTATTAGCTACTTTTCTTTTTGGTTGTTTTTCTTCCATTTCAACAAATGAAATGGGTTTTCTTTTACGTAAAACAATCGTATTAGATTTTGTATCATTATCTTCTGATACGGATTGTTTTCGTTTTCGAGTTTGTTTTATATTTTGTGTTGTATCAATTGATTCTGATGCATTTTTTATGGTAGAATGTGTTCGAAGTCTAGATATTGGTTCTGGAAAAGTAAAAGAATTTCTAAAAAGAAATATTTATACGTAATTGCGATAAAAAAAAGAAGTAGAAGTTTACTGCTGATCAATATTTGATTCTTGTTGACTTGAATCAGTAAGTTTTGGTCGAATATAAGCATTATTATTTTCACTATTATTAGTTTTTTGTGTTTTAAGATGATTCAATAAAAATGTTTCATTAACTCGATGAAGTATAACTCTTGGTTTGACTAAATTGACTAAAAAACATTTGTTAATCAAATTAAAGAATTTTTTATTGTTTACTAGTTTGATTCTGATCAAATGGTGAAAGTACATTTTTAATTGATTCAGATGGTTCATCTTGAATAAATGTTGGAGAAAAACAAAGTCTGGCTGGAAGATTAGGTTGAGAATACATTGGGGATGCATGCATTTCTGTTGAAGGTATATGTGAAGAAGTTTGAATTGGTAACAATCTATTAGTTTCATTGTTTGTTGTTTCTTCAGATGTAATAACATATGTTTTATTGATAGAAGGAAGAATTTGATTAGATTTAATCGAATTTGAAACAATACTAATACGTTCTTGTTTAGTTGATATGAGATTTTCTGTTGATGAAGAATGATCAATATTGATGAGTACTTGTGGTTGATTATTCTAGAATAATAATAAATAATTTGAAATAGCTAAAAGAATTAATTACAGGCAATTCTAAAGTATTTTGTTCTTCATTTATTGTTTGAATATGTTGTATACATGGATGAATATCATGAGAAGTAATTAAATTTCTATAAAAAATTTTAACATAGGTAAGAAAATTTTAGTGTAATTGTGAGTCAAATCATATATGAAAACATACTGGTCAATAGCAGAATGAATTTCTTTCCAATATTCATTTTCTTCATGAAGAATTTTTTGAATAACACTACAATGTTCTTGTATAATGGTACGAATATTTTCCATGCGCTGAAAGTAAATTTCAATAGTTTGAAATTTTTATGGAAAAAAATTTTTTTTATTTTACTTTTTCAAAATAATTTGGTAACGATTGTGAAGCTATTTCTGTTAACCTATCAAATATATGAACTTTTTTTTCATGTTTAAGTAAATGTTCATTTGTTTCAGTTATAGTTTTTTCGATATCAAGATTTTGTAGATGGATATCTTTTAATTGTTTCTCATATTGTACTAAAAGAAAATATGTTGTAATGAAAAATAATTGTGCCTCATTTATGCTACCATTAATACTGATTTCAATTAGTTTTCGAGCTTGTCGATATTTAGCACGTGTAGCATCAAAACGAGTTCGATCCCAAGTTAATGGTATATCGAACACTGTTCGGTTGATAAAGGAGAACATTGAACAGTGATAGAATCTTACTAAAGTTAATGATAAAAAGAATCGTTTGTATTTATTTCAGAACAAAGACGTCTGTTTGTTCGTTCGTTCGCGTCAATCATTATAATAAAAACCAGTGATTAATCATTGATCGACAGATGTCAGATATTGCTTTGAAATACGAAAGAGAATAATAGTGATGTCTTTAGTTTCTTATCGATTTAAGAGTTACGATATCACAAAGTCTAAATGGGACATGTACCATCTCAATATAGGTGCACATAACATATATGTCTATGTAAACTGGATGTTTGTATCAGATTCCAAAACCTGACTCTGACTTGAATGTAGGTGTATATGACAAAGATGAGAAGACTTACATCTACATCCTCATCGAAAGGACCGAAATTCTAATAGAACGAAAAAGAAATGTATTTTTCAACTTTCGATCAATCGTTGCACCTGTTGTTGATTTTTTCAGATCGACTTTACTAGAAACAACTTTTTGTCGTTTTGATGTAGCGTTCAAGAAGAACAAACATTATAGTCATCAATCATTTCTTCATGCAATGCCATCATTGACAATCCAACTCTCCTATTTCTGCTCATGCATATTCCCATCTCACTGAATGTGTCTCGGTGTATTGCTGTCTCCCTTATCAAGTATCTAGCAAAAAGCAAATATATGATCGGTAGAGAAGATGATGTTTTCATGTGAAAATTTGCTGTTCTTTCAAAAAAAAAGGGTTTTATCTGATCATAACTTTTTAATGAAAATCTGTCAAGGATTGTGTTCAATGTCTCTTTTTTTAATTTTATATAGGAAGTCTTTTCAATGTGAAGTCATCCGCGACAAGACTGTAACTATTTGTCTGCTACCATTTTATACCTATTAAGTTTTGATACAAAGAAGTGTGCTCAATATTTTAGATCATTATATAGACAGCGTTCAAAAACTCTAAAATCATTTTTCTATAGGTTTGTAACATTATTTAAGGACACATTCAGAATAATCTAATAAATGGCAAATCATGATATGAGTTTTGTCGATTTTAAAAAATCTCTGGATTCTGTTGATTCCTGGGATTCTATCACCTCCATGGTTCTCGATTGTCTTTGAGAGTGGGATGAGAGAAGACATTGGCTTTCTATTTGGCAGATAATGATCAAAAATTTTCGCAGACAATGCATTGACGATTTTCTTTTCAAAGACAGCTAGTGGAAATTTTCCGGTTTTACATAAAAACTGATGATCGGGGTGAGGGGGGGGGGAAGAGGGAAGTAGTGCGGCAAAGGTCATCTTATTCCACCTCAAATGTCTGCCAAATCCTGAGAAAAACTGTATAAAAAATGAAAACGTCTAATTTCTATTAAAATTCATTAAGGAACTGAAAACATCTGCCAGACAGTAAAACAGGTTTTCAATTTTTTGGGGAGGGGGCTGACCCTTTCAGCCCTCCCCCTCCCTTCTCCACATCGAGAGCCATGATCACCTCGATGATATGAAAACTTTGGTCTCTCCAAATCGTTCAGTTCTTTCAAATCCATGAATTTCTCGAAATATTCGAATGTGTTTGATTTCTCGAAGTTTTCGGGTTTTTTCGGAATCCTTAAGGGATATGCAGTTTTTGGTCGTTTGAATTCCTTGAAATCCTATAGTTGCATGAATGCATAGAACTTTTTGGAGTCTCTCTGACGCTTACAGGTCCTTCAATATGTCAAGTTCCGAGAACTCATGGAATTGTTTTCGTTTCTTGACCTTCTCTAGTATTTTATAATGCCTTTCGTCAATAGGTTCTTCAAATAAGTGTTAGTGTGTGCATCATGTATCATGTGATGTTCATGCATTACTTCAAACACTGTATATCATATACCTAGATCGTATCAGAATACTGGTTATTGAATACATATATATATTACTACAAGTTTCCTTGATTATATGTGTATATGTCTACCTGAGTTTGATGGTACAGAATATCAAATTGATAATCGATTATATAAATCAAATATTTGTTGAAATGATTCTATGTTATCGTTCATTACCATTGTTTTAAAAAAAATCGTTTCTTTTTGGTTACATCTTATGAAAGATTAAATACGTCATTTGAAAGTTTATACAAAATAAACAAAAGAAAGTTATTGTGCAAAGAGAACACTCGTTTAAATGATGATATCTGTTGATGATCATTTTTTAACTATACATGTGAAACTCTTTAAAGAAGTTATCATATAAGAGATAATTTAAGAACACAACTCAATCTTTTTTCACTAGTCAAAAAATTATTTTTGTCAATAACCATCTATTAATCAAAGTATCGAATCGAAAAAAAAACTATTTAAAGCAACGTTTGCTGATGTATATGTGAGCAGTTCAAAACCATATTTTATATCAAATAAATAATATAATTTAAGAAGAGAAAGTTAGTTTTGGAATCAACTTTTTTCTTCTTTTATGTATATGATTAAAAAATACTGAATATATTACGAATAATTTATGGCCCATATATGAAGCTATTTTCAAGTCAGTGAATTTGTCCGTTCCAAGAGGTTTAATTGGCACTCATACATAAAATTTCTTTCTGTTGGCTTTAACTTTGTACTAATTGCGCGTTGAATATCAAAGTATTTCTCAAAATATCTGCTATATAAAAAAAAAGAAAAAACAGAAATTCGTTTTTTATTGATAACTGTAAATGTTTCTCTGTACTAAAGATAGTCACAGCTTGCATGATATTAATGATCATGATAATGATTGTCAAATATTATCCACATGTAGGCGGTGTTTGCTTTTTCTTTGTTTTTTTTCTTTTATATAGGTTTCATGGAATAGCATTGAAAATTACAGTGAATAAACGATACAATCTGCCTTAGAACATGAAAAAATCATCAAACAAGATTGATACTAATAGCAATGATAACTATGAAGTTGAAAAACAAAAATTATTGTATAAACTTGATCTACATCTACTTCCAACTCTTTCGTACGTTTTTTAAACTTTAACAAAAAAAAAAAGCAATGTTTTAAAACTTTTTTTCAGCATTCTTTACTTGCTGTCGTATCTCAATGGAACAAATATTACAAATGCAAAATTATTTGGTCTTGAACATGATATTCACCTCACTTCAGAACAATATCAATGGTAAAATGTCTCCTTTTTCAGTCGAATTTTTCATATGGATGTCATTCTTCCTAGGTGTTTATCAATCTATTTTCTTGGTTTTGTAATTTTTCAAATACCATCAAATATTGTTCTTCGTCGATATCAACCATCTAGTTGGATTTCTCTAATCGCTTTTCCATGGGGTAAGTACAACATCTATTATATGAGCTTGCGATATCAGCGTCTTTTCCAAATAATTCAGTCTATTTACCCTTTTCTTTAAAATAATGAAGTACTTAAAAAAAATTCATTTACCGACAAAAGTTCATCATATTATAATCATGCTTTCACAGGTTTAGCAGCAGTAGGTATGGCAACTGTAGATAGTTTCGAAACTCTACTACTAGCTCGATTTTTACTTGGGATTTTTCAATGTGGCTTTTTTCCTGGATTTATCTACTACATATCATTATGGTATCAAAGAAAAGAACAAGCTATTCGACTTGGATTCTTTTGGTCATTTTCAGCACTTGCAGGAGCTTTTGGTGGTTTATTTGCATATGCCATTGCTCAAATTAAATTACCGAAACTAGCTGAATGGCAACTTATCTTTATTGTAAACTTTCTTTGTGCTTATTTCCTATATTGCTTGTGTTTGTATATAGATTGAAGGTATTCCAACGATTATTGTTGCAATTCTCTGTTGGTTTTATCTGCCTGATTCACCAGAACAAGCAAGATTTCTGACTGATAAACAACGTCAATTAGAAATTGATCGTCTTATAGAAGATGCTGGTGCATCTCATCATGATTCATTTTCGTGGTCACAAGTTCTATCTGTTTTTACTGATTGGAAAACCTATATTTATGCTATGATATACATATGTGGAACTACTTCTTTGCAATGTATAACTCTTATTTTACCTACACTAATATATGAAATGGGTCAATGGACATCAATGGAAACACAATTAATGACGATTCCACCCTATTTTGTTGCATTTATATTTATATTACTTGTTTCATACAGTTCAGATTAGTGAGTATCTTATTCGGAATTTATGTTTTGTCTGAAAATAAGATTTTTATAGTTTTGTTGAGCGATCTTATCATCTGGTTTTTACAAATCTATTAACAATATATGGTCTCCTTTTATTGATGTTTATTGATCAACAACATGTTTACATTCTTTATGCGGGTGTTATTCTTGTTACATCGGGCTTATATTCAAATGTTAGTATAAGAGTAGCTTGGATTAATAATAATTTGTGAGTGAGATATTGTTTATTTGTACTAAATTTCAATGATATATGTGTTTAGTGCTTCATTAACTCGACGTGCAGTTGCATCAGCATTCATCATTTCAATAGCTGCTATTGGCGGTTTGGTAGCAGGACAAATATATCAAGCACAACAAAAACCACGATATTTTATTGGTAATACTATTGCACTTATCTTTATTGTTTTACAAACAATATTAGTCATTATTCTTCGTCTGATGTTTCTATATATTAATCGTCAACGATCTCAAATGAATACTGAACAAATTAATCAGCAGATTAAACGATATGGAGGAAATGAATTAGTTGGAGATCGTCATCCAGAATTTCGTTATACATTGTAATAAAATGAACTGTTTTATCGATGCAAATAGTTTTGACATTTCTATGACGAAGTCTTTTTGCTAAGAAAATCTCGATGAGAACATATAAATTCAGTATTTAGCGTTGATCAATCCATCTTCATTCAAGCGAATTGATTTTGAAATTGTCGTTTTCATTCACGCTTTGTTGGTTATTTGTTCTTTTGAATTCTTTTTCGTATTATTATGTGCTTACTTGCAAAATGGAAAACATCTTGTGTTTATTGTTGTGTGACTTACTGTTGAATAGAAGATATAAAATATTTTCACTCAACATA